ATGTACTGGAATTCGCTGTGCTATACTGATCGTTTGAAACTTCAGCTCCAAGAAGAAGTGTTCAAAGACTGGGCATTCACACATTGAGCAATTCCGCCTGCTGAGCAACAAGTCTGGATAGGAAAATGATTCTCATTAACTCAAAATTCTAGATGAGATACTCATAATAATAATAATAATAATAATATTTTCCTACTATTGTTCATTTAAAATCTGATGAACTAGACTGAATTCTAATACCAATACTATAATTAGTCAAGCAAAATGTTAAAAATAATATTTTTGAAATTTTCATGAAACTGCATATATACAAACAGATTATGTATAATCTTAAAGACATAAGGTCATTCATGACTGAAAGTTCTTAGTAATCCAGGAAAATTAGAATCAAGAATATGTTAAAAAAATCTTTGAACTTGAGAAGTAAAATTCAATGACAAATTGAACTGATGGCACAGACACCAAAATCTCATCCTTAAACCTTTCAAAATACAACTAGTAGTGAGCTATCCTTATTACCTTGGGTTAAACCTGAGATGTCTCTATGAGCATTTAACTGAACACCATGAAATATTGAACTTTCAGGCAATTTAAAAGGATGTAATGCTAATAGTATCTTATGAAATGCAGAAAGCATACAAGCAGTTAATATAAGTGCCCCTGGAGAAGTTCACAAAATGACCAAAGTTTCATAAGCGGACTTGGATGAAGTCTGATAGGAATCTAAAGCAGCAGGTACCATGTTGGAACTGTCAATGTGAGTCAAAATTTTGTCTGATGAGACTTTCTGAACAGGAAGTAAACATTCTTGTTAAAGGGTAAAACTATGCTATAATATCCATGAAACCACCCATTGCTGAACTTATCACAGTCTGCTGTATTAAAACTGAATCCATCAACTCAAGTTGATTAGTAATGACAGAAAGTCATTGATTAGATATGACAGAAAGTCAAAACCATCCATAATACAAAACTACCACTTCCAACTACTTGGAAGCAGGTGGAAAATATTACACTTTACATATAAAAGGGAGTCTCAGGTCTTTCTTTCACACCTGGTAAGAAACGCTGGACAGGATTTTTGGCCATATGACACTGATGATAGGTCATTAGTAAAATGCCTCATGGTGAGACCACTACACTGGTTTGTCACTGAATCTTACTATACAAGTTCAATAATTTGATTTATATGCTCCTGAAAATGTTAATAAGGTTTACAGACAAATATATTAAGAATTAATTTCTCCGCTGAATTATTAACACAAAAAAATTACATTTATGTTACATTTATATTTTACCTTTTAAAATAGCAGGTAAGTTTTCATGGTCCCAAGGAATTTTCCTAATGGTGATAAACCTAGCAGCCAATTCCACCAAGGTGGCAACTGGAGCTGGATGGAGCATTTTTTGGGAGGTCTGCATGATCTCCTTGTGGTTTTCTTCATATAGTGGATTGTGCATGGCTACAAGTGAAACTTTTCAAATGAAACTACAAACATAATGTCCAAATGTATATGTATTGATGTTTTGCTCTTTTGTGCAAAATTACAATGGGATATACATTGGAATATACATCAAATCACATATTACAAGAAAGAATTTTTTCAGATCTCTCACCCACAAAATATTCCTTAAATTAAGACTGGCATTATTTTCAAAAACATCACTTTTTTGTTCTCTTTTAAAGGAATTTGAGAGATAATAAAGATGGAAGGGGCATGGTTTTGAAAAAAGATCAGAGTGATCTCACCTTACAGAGAATCCTGAGCCTATAGATGTTGGCACTTACCACTAAATACATACAGGTCCAGATGGACCATTGAGGCTGGCAGGTGCTGGCAATTGTTGTCTCTGATGTGTAATTCCCTGAGCTGGTGGAGCTGTCCTATGTGTTCTGGCAAACTGATCAGTCTAGAAATGGATTATGACATAGAAAATCTGTCACTGTTTTGTATTTTTTACATTCCAATTTAAAAATTGGAATGTAAAAAAGCAACAAAATAGTCATGTTGAGATCATGGCTTTGAAAGTCACTTTTATTTTTATTCTCAAAATATTCTGAATAATGATATCTGAATAATGATATTCTAACTAAATATTTTTTAATGTGGCATAAAACGTGTCTGAATTAAGCATATAAAACATTTTGCACAAAAGCGAATGACAATCTACATGTTAGGCACGTGTAATAATTGTTATGGATCAACATAAATTTTGTAACATCGGAGGGTACAGTTACAGAAGGGGGATTCCTTCTCTCATTTAACACATTTGCATACAGTATTGTTTTTTTTAGACCAACTAACCTATTATTGCTGCACCACACCTTGACCAGAGCTCTGCACTTTGAGAATGAGTTGGGGAGATGAATGAGGTTGCAGTCTGAGACATCACACTCTGCAAGACGTACAAGGTTCCCCATGTTCTCTGGCAAGATTGACAAAGACTGGTTGCCACATAGGTGCAGAGACTAATGTATGAGAAAAAGGTTTAAACTATATTTCCAAGACATTCTCAAAAGGTTTTTGTTTACTGTGATACACAACAAAATCATGCACTTCCAATTAAAATGCTGCTCATCACTCACGTAAACAATGATTTACTCAAGGTCAAAATACAATTGTATTATTTCCTATGTCTATTCTTTTGAAAAAGATCAGCACAACATAACTATTTAGAATAACACTCCCATGTAAAATTATATTTTCTGTATGACACTCAACTACCACATACTTACATTCAATTGGCTAAGATCACATAACTCTTCTGGCAAGAATATTAGATTATTGTTACTGAAATATGAGATTAAAATCTATTTTTTACTGGAAATTAGAAAACATATACCAAAGAATTATGAATTGTGTCATACCATAATTATTCTATGTACAGCTTTTAATATTCAGTCTAAATTATAGATCAATGTTGTTAACTTTAAAAATCAGTCTAGGGCATTTTTTCTCACCTTGCATATAAAACCTCTAATGATGTTAGCTGCCCAATTGTTTGTGGCAAAGATACCAATTTGTTGTTCATTAAATTTAACACGTTTAAACTGCTCAAGTTACCAATGGAATCTGAAAAAAGAATTAACAAAAATTCTAATATAGATTTTTTTTACAAACACCAAAAACATTGACATCAATGATTTATTTTTTAAAATAACTTTTTATATCCAATATAAAAACAAAATAAAGGCAAGCACCATTTTTTATATCAATTAATATTACAGACACAAAGTTTTAAATCAACCTAAGTTTTACAATTTATCATTCAATAATTATCACAGATTATCATCCAGGAATTCAAGGTCTGAGAAAATTGAATATTGACCAATGAGATAATCACCAAATATAATACTGATTATGTGAAAGTTTTATCATTCAGAGAAAAGAAGAGCTTTTATCAATCTGACGACAAAGTTGTCAGTGGGAGTTCACAATATTTAATTCTCACCTGGTAAACTTGTCAGGCTGTTATGTTTCACATCTAGTTCAGTTAACTTTGACAGATTGCCAATGTTGTCCTGGTGACAAAAGAAAAAGTATCATATTTCTAGTATTAGGTGAGCTAGCACAAAACCAGTTGTAAATAAACAAGGCAGCAAAGCTGTCAAATGTACAGACAAAAAACAGGAAATAACTATGCACTAAATAGGCTACTGTCAATTCTGATGCAAAAGAACATTATGTTAAACTGCAAATTCAACATCAAATTTTAATTATGCTCAACAGGTAATACCAATGTAANTCAACCCCTGTATTTTTTAGCATTAGGCAGCAAAACTAGCCATAGCTGTTAAAGCTGCGCACATTCTCGTTGAAAATCCATTTCACCCACTCTATAACTCGGCTCTAATACAATCTGAGTTTATTATCATGTCAGGGAACATCTTATTGTGTTACTACGGACAATGAGCTGTCTAGTTCATTGCTACAGCTACATCTAATCCTAATGCAATACAACAATAAAAGTGCATTTAAATTATTAAACATCTGCAGATTGCTCCAGGATATCAGCATAGCATTTTCAATCAGCCTAATGTATTTCTGACAAGAACAAGGTGACAGGTCATCAATAACTTTCAACTGATGCAAGTCAAAAATTATCCATTTCACACATTCTGCTTTTATGATCATGTTTGAAGAACCGGAACATGTACTACCTTAAAGTCATGAGTTACCCAATCATAAAAATGATGGTATCAAAATTAAACCCTTGCACTTTAATCCCTTGGTATAGTTATATATATAGCAATCCACCTAAATTAGCATTTTCTTCCCTTTAAAAACAAGTACATAATTGTGCTTCTCTTCTAAATCCCCATTCAGAATGAAAGGGGCCATTCAGAATGAGAAGAGCTGAGTGCTAGCTGGTCTACGGACCCAGATAATTTAAATGTGGTTGATGACTGAATGTCAGCAATAGAAGGGAGGTAAATCTTCGACCTCCCTCTGGCACCTGCTGGCAGAGTTTGCAATAACATGAAGTTGTGCCCTGAGAGATGACTAGAATGCAGGGGAGAGACAACCATTAGGTTTCAAGCTGAATCTGTGGTCTCATTTACTATCAGTTGTGTCTGATTGCAGATATTTACAAGTATTCAAATTCTATCTCATCATGACCGTAGGAAAGAATGCAAAATGCAAAAAAGACCGTTTGTTACATTTACTGAGGCTGAAAGCCTGGATTCATAATGACTTTACTCAGTTCAGTCATGTACTCATCTTTTTTTTTTTTAATTAAAGAAGTGTTGAATGAGGGACAGCATATATTTCTAAACTGCATTAGTCTTCATTCTCGAAAAGCTGCAAGAACAAAATGGGATATTTTTGTGTTTTTATCCAAAATATAGCCAAACACTAAGATTTAAGCCAGAGAGCACGATTCTAATTGTAAATGATTTAATTTTGAACTATAAAAGTGCAATTTTTCTAAAATGTGAGGCAGGACATTGCAGTGCATTTTTTTTTTTTTTTTTTTTTTTTTGGTGTGTGTGTGTGTGTGAATTAATAATTGTATTTTGTTACAAAGTGATTGTCATCACTTAAACCATCCCTGAATTATGGAAGGTGAATCAAACATCCTGAAAAAAAAAGTTAAAAAGATTAAACAGTCATTACTTTATACTAAAATGAGTCACTGTGTTTGTATATACTTTACGGTCATTCTGACCATTGTTGTCTAAAAAGCAGACCAATCTCGATGACACTTGTACAAATTTTATGTCTTCACTATTTGAATAAAAATTTGTTAAGAAGTTCAACTTTATTACCTGCACAATACATCATTCACAGAATTACATGTAAAAGAACTGCCTTGACATGAAGAGATAAAATACAATATTGAAAATTAACTATTAAAAATGACCAAAAACAATATTCAATGGTTCTGCTTTTACATAAATAGTAAAAAATTAGGGTAAAAAAAAGAGTTTGTCTCTTGGACCAATTATAGGTAGATCAATGAAAGACGTCTAATAACAAAGACCAGAAACCATTTTCAATGGTTCTGCTTTTACATTAATAGTAAAAAATTAGTTTAAAAGATGAGTTTATCTCATGGACCAATTATTGGCAGATCAATGAAAGACGTCTAAATACAAACTCTTTGTATCTGTTTTTCCAACAATGTCATAAATAAATGTAGCATCAATTGTAAAGAAAGAACATTCTAATTCTTTTAATTTATGAAATGACTGTGAAATGGTTACAAGACAACAAGTCAATTTTTATATAAACTGTACAACCGATATGTTTCCTTGGATGAGTTCATGAAAAGAAAATAAACTTTCCCATTAACATTTGATGACAAACGGCATCACTCGTTACTAAATATAGTTTTGATTAAGGCCAATGAAGAAAAGTGATAAGTTGATCTTGGGCATCACAAATGTAAGCACCAGAAAAAGAAGACTCTAAATCTTCTATTAGTATTAGTCTGGAGAGATATCAGTTTTTGTCTTCTTTCTTCCAACTTGAAAGCACTGTTCACACAATTGTGTATGTACTGGAATTCGCTGTGCTATACTGATCGTTTGAAACTTCAGCTCCAAGAAGAAGTGTTCAAAGACTGGGCATTCACACATTGAGCAATTCCGCCTGCTGAGCAACAAGTCTGGATAGGAAAATGATTCTCATTAACTCAAAATTCTAGATGAGATACTCATAATAATAATAATGATAATAATAATAATAATAATAATAATAATAATATTTTCCTACTATTGTTCATTTAAAATCTGATGAACTAGACTGAATTCTAATACCAATACTATAATTAGTCAAGCAAAATGTTAAAAATAATATTTTTGAAATTTTCATGAAACTGCATATATACAAACAGATTATGTATAATCTTAAAGACATAAGGTCATTTATGACTGAATGTCCTTAGTAATCCAGGAAAATTAGAATCAAGAATATGTTTAAAAAAATCTTTGAACTTGAGAAGTAAAATTCAATGACAAATTGAACTGATGGCACAGAAAATCTCATCCTTAAACCTTTGAAAATACAACTAGGAAGGTACATTGTAGTGAGCTATCCTGATTACCTTAGGTTAAACCTGAGATGTCTCTATGAGCATTTAACTGAACACCATGAAATATTGAACTTTCAAGCAATTTAAAAGGATGTAATGCTAACAGTATCTTATGAAATGCAGAAAGCATACAAGCAGTTAACATAAGTGCCCCTGGAAAAGTTCACTAAATGACCAAAGTTTCATAAGCAGACTCTGATGAAGTCTGATAGGAATCTAAAGCAGCAGGGACTATGCTGGAACTGTCAATGTGAGTCAAAAACTTGTCTGATGAGACTTTCTTGTTAAAGGGTTCATCATCAGAGACAGAAGGGTCAAGGCTGACCTGCCGTGGCACATGCAAAGGTACGCCTCCAACAGTCCCGGTCCTGAGCAGCCTTGAAAAGTTCAGCCATTGTCAAGCCCACTGCTCTGTATATATCATCTTGCAGTTAAAGGGTTACACTATGCAATAATATCCATGAAACCACCCGATGCTGAACTTATCACAGTCTGCTGTATTAAAACTGAATCCATCAACTCAAGTTGATAATTAGTAATGACAGAAAGTCATTAATTAGTTATGACAGAAACTCAAAACCATCCATAATACAAAACTACCACTTCCAAGCATCACCACTGCAGAAAGAAAGAAAGGACTTAAAAACACTAGAAAGAAAACAGTCCAATGTTGTGTAAGGTGCTGTGAGTAGCACCAGTGACTGCTAGGAAACTTACACAGGAAAAACAAAACAGTCAATCAACATACAAGACACTGTACCAATGAACGCCAAAAAACCCAGCTATTAATCTGCACATCTGAGGCACTTGTCACTTAACACAAAAAAAATAACTACACTTTTAATGGAAACTGGAGTAAACAAGGCATCAAAGGGGCTACTTGGAAGCAGGTGGAAAATATTACACTTTACATATAAAAGGGAGTCTCAGGCCTTTCTTTCACGCCTGGTAAGAAGCGCTGGACAGGATTTTCGGCCATATGACACTGATGATAGGTCATTAGTAAAATCCCTCATGGTGAGACCACATCACTGGTTTGTCACTGAATCTTACCACACAAGTTCAATAATTTGATTTATATGCTCCTGAAAATGTTAATAAGGTTTACAGACAAATATATTAAGAATTAATTTCTCTGCTGAATTATTAACACAAAAAATTACATTTATATTACATTTATATTTTACCTTTTAAAATAGCAGGTAAGTTTTCATGGTCCCAAGGAATTTTTCTAATGGTGATAAACCTGGCAGCCAATTCCACCAAGGTGGCAACTGGAGCTGGATGGAGCATTTTTTGGGAGGTCTGCATGATCTCCTTGTGGTTTTCTTCGTATAGTGGATTGTGCATGGCTACAAGTAAGTGAAACTTTTCAAATGAAACTACAAACATAATGTTCCAAATCCAAATCACATATTAAAAGAAAGGATTTTTTCAGATCTCTCACCCACAAAATATTCCTTAAATTTAGACTGGCATCATTTTCAAAAACATTAATTTTTTTGTTCTCTTTTAAAGGAATTTGAGAGATAATAAAGCTGGAAGGGACATGGTTTTGAAAGATCAGAGTGATCTCACCTTACAGAGAATAGATCCTGAGCATAGATTCTGGCACTTACCACTAAATACATACAGGTCCAGATGGACCATTGAGGCTGGCAGGTGCTGGCAATTGTTGTCTCTGATGTGTAATTCCCTGAGCTGGTGGAGCTGTCCTATGTGCTCTGGCAAACTGATCAGTCTAGAAATGGATTATGACACAGAAAAATCTATCACCATTTTGTATTATTATATTATATTTATTTATATTTATATATATTTTTAACGTGGCATAAAACATGTCTGAATTAAGCATATAAAACATTTTGCACAAAAGCGAATGACAATCTACATGTTAGGCACGTGTAATAATTGTTATGGATCAACATAAATTTTGTAACATTGGAGGGTACAGTTACAGAAGGGGGATTCCTTCTCTCATTTGGCACATTTGTGTACAGTAGTGTTTTTTTTTTAGACCAACTAACCTATTATTGCTGCACCACACCTTGACCAGAGCTCTGCACTTTGAGAATGAGTTGGGAAGATGAATGAGGTTGCAGTCTGAGACATCACACTCTGCAAGACGGACCAGGTTCCCCATGTTCTCTGGCAAGATTGACAAAGACTGGTTGCCACATAGGTGCAGAGACTAATATATGAGAAAAAGGTTTAAACTTTATTTCCAAGACATTCTCAAAAGTTTTTTTACCATGATACACAACAAAATCATGCACTTCCAATTAAAATCAGCACAACATAACTACTTAGAATTACATTCCCATGTAAAATTACACTTTCTGTATGACACTCAACTACCACATACTTACATTCAATTGGCTAAGATCACATAACTCTTCTGGCAAGAATATTAGATTATTGTTGCTGAAATATGAAATTAAAAATCAATTTTGTTTACTGGAAATTAGAAAAGATATACAAAAGAATTATGAATGTGTCATACCACAATTCTTCTATGTACAACTTTCAATATTCAGTCTAAATTATAGATCAGTGTAGTTGACTTTGAAAAACAGTCTAAGGCATTTATTTCTCACCTTGCATATAAAACCTCCAATGATGTTAGCTGCCCAATTGTTTGTGGCAAAGATACCAATTTGTTGTTCATTAAATTTAACACGTTTAAACCACTCAAGTTACCAATGGAATCTGAAAAAAAAAATAACAAAAATTCTAATATAATTTTTTTACATACACCAAAAACATTGAGATCATTGGTTTATGTTTGACATACACATTTTATATTCAATATAAAAACAAAATAAAGGCAAGCACCACTTTTTATATCAATATTACAATTAATATTACAAAGTTTTAAATCAACCTGAGTTTTACCCTTTATCAATAATTATCACAGATTATAATCTTATATCCAGGAATTCAAGGTCTGAGAAAATTGAATATTGACCAATGAGATGATCACCAAATATCATACTGATGATATGTAAGCTGATTTTTTTTTTTTATCAATCAGAGAAAAGAAGAGATTTTATCAATCAGACAACAAAGTTGTCGGATGACCGTGATGTTGCAACTTTTGGTGTTATCTTTGATTCCATTGACAATGAGGTATTAAATCATATGATAAAACAATAACTGACTTTTATTTTCTGTCAGTATGTTGTTTTGCAGACCTCAACCAATGTCAATAATACTCTTACATAACTCAACATAATTATAATAAGTGAAACATAATAGTCATCATCAATAGAAACTTATACAGATAGAGATTACTAGCAATAGTCAATGGGTGTTCCCAATGTTTAACTCTCACCTGGTAAACTTGTCAAGCTGTTATGTTTCACGTCTAGTTCAGTTAACTTGGACAGATTGCCAATGCTGTCCTGGTGACAAAAGAAAAAGTATTATATTTCAAGTATTAGGTGACAGTTGGCACAAAACCAATTGTAAATAAAAAAGATGTCTATTGTGTGGACATGGTAAGAGATACAAAATGAAAGAAGTGGGTAAAAAATAACTTGGCCTGGCTCATTTTGCACCTATAAAGTTCCTGAATACTGTTCAGATAAATGGACTATTCATGATCTATTCAGAACCACAACCAGTAGATTGTGAAGTATGACTGAGGCCATGCCAGCATACCAGGGCTCCGTAACTTGAAAGCATCATGGATTGTGAATAGCGATATCACCTTTTATTTCGAGGTTAACATATGGGGCAAGCAAATCCCAAGTTATGGAATAGAGATGCTTGCGCCCAGTTGCAATTTACTATGCTGTTGAGTTAAGGAGCCCAGCATGTTTTTCATTAAATGAGCACTTTTTTCATCAAATAAAATACAGACTTAAATACGGTAATTGTTATTTTCATCTTGAGAAAAAGATTAAATCTTAATATTCCTTTGTGATTAAAGAATTTTACAATGTAGCTTCTTACTGGCAATTCCTTCAAACCATTGTATTGTATGTACAGCTCCTCTAGGCCTAATAGAAATCCAATCTCTTTGGGAAGGTCGGACAAACAGTTGTTGGACAGATTCAAAACACTTAGCTGGGCTCCCACATATCCTATTCTACTTGGACAAGATGTCAGTTGAAAATAACTGAAAAGAGTAAGAAATACAGACTTATCAATCCTGGAAAATATATAAGATATTCTTGCAAATAAAATTCTTTAGATCTAAAGAATTAAAACACTTTAAGAACACCTCTGATGGAACTTGAAAAAACAACCTATTCTTCTCTCTAAGTTTTTTGGAATATTGAAATTCTTACATAGATGACAAGCCACTAGACCTAGAAATCAAAAATATCTCGGAAACTGTATGATAGCCCCAAACTTACCTTAAGTCAATTTCTTTAGGTTTCTTCACATCATGATTGCTAACCTTGACTCTGGCATCAATGTCTGCCAGCCCCAAGTCACAGGTAGTATATTTACTGGAAAGGCAGCAAGTTTCACACAGTACCAGCCGGCATGTCCAGTGAGCCTCATTAAGACCACAACTAAAATACATGCAAGGACAGACATACAATAAGCAATAAGCTGACATTTAAGGTTGTAATTATATTTCAGTTATATTAAATGGAAGGCCTGGAAACAAGAGCGTCTGACACATTAAGCGAGGAATTCGTTGCTGTGCAACTGCAACCTGATTGCGTTTTTTTCTTAATGTTGCTTGTCTGTATGTCCCAAAAGTCTTACTAGTACCATGACCAAATTTCAAATAGAGCATGTACAGACAAACCATTTGCAAGGAGACAGAATAATTTTTGAATTAAGGTATCAGATAAATTTGAAATAATTAAAAAGTTTGAAGATTAAAACCTATGTTGGCATTCAGATAGAACTACAATGCAGTGTGAAATAAGGGGTAGACAAATAAAAACCCACAGAAATGCAACATATCAAAGAAATTTTATATCTCAAGAATATTAAGATTTGTAAAAGAGGAAAGTGACTAAATGTGATTTTGAAAAAAAATCCAATTGTAGTATGATTGCATAACAATCATTAGTTTGCTGAATTAAACCACTGATTTTTTTCAAAGGCATTTTGACAACATAAAATAACACGACAGTCACAACAAACAGAAATATATATTTGCACGTGCACACACACACACACACACACAAACACACACACACACACACACACACACACACACTTATGTTATACAGCTAATGACTTCATTTACTGCAACATCATATAACTGATCAAGGGTGAGACAGCCAAGGGGTCACTTAAGTCACAAAAATCACTGAAGACTAAGGATGCATTCATATTCATACATAGTAATAACTGGTGGGTCAAAATCCGCGGGGGAATCTTGCCAAAGTCCAATCAGTGGAATCAGCTTAATTGTCTGACACACCTTGAATGCTAGGTAATTAAAGTGATAATAACTCTTCGTTTCGGCCAAAAAATGAATTTTCCTGGAGTAAACAACAATTTCCCCATACTTACCAATGGTTAATGAATCCATTTTTACATTCAAAGTTAGGCCCTAGTTTTTTTCTAAAAAGTTTGGTTTTTTGTTAAAATCTCTTAAGAGATTTTAACAGAGTATAGCCATCAATGGAGGTCACGTGGTCTAAAGACAAGCTCAGATATCAGAATAATAGCAATAACAGCCGTTTTTTGTGGGAAAACAGAATATATTATATTTTTATGAGTCATTCACAATGTTTTTATTGTGAAATACAGATTTCATACGAAGAGTTATTATCCCTTTAACTGTTGTGTGCTGAATAAGTTGATTCCACTAATTGCACTTTAGCTGGAATTCCCTACAGAGTTGGACTGACCCAGCTAGTACAATGTATAAAGTGTAAACCTGAATGTGCCCTAATAATGTTGCACAAACATTAAGTACATACGTGGCTCAGTGTACCTGAATAACACAGGTGTCTAAGTGCTTTTATTTATTTGCTTCAACATTCATTGGATGTGGTTTAATAACATGCTAACGCATGTTTACACATTCAATTTTATTGCAGACATACAAAAACACCTGCACTTTTTTCTTTTGGTACCCTTTTTCCCCCTTTTCAATGAATATATTAATTGTGAAGTGTCACAAAAATCACTGAAAAAAATATATCAAAAATGGCTGATTGATATGTAGTTATTTTAACTTTAATGTCAAATATTTCAATTTATTATACTTAAATAACATTGAATCAAATTACCTTATGCAGATAACACTGAGACTGTCCCGGTGTAAGACCTGCCTTAAGTGTTTCCTTTGACTTGAACTTTGTTTTTGAAGATTCTTTCTATTTTGCTAAAATATACATTATCATATCAAAATTAATTTATCATCAATTTACATGTACTAGTGGGAGATAATGCAAAGAAAATGATTCTCTTGCAAGGTGCTAAAAAAATCAATATCCATGTCATCCGAACATGCTAATGTAAGCAAGTTTCATATACCCATTACAAATGTAATCTCTTGCTCAACAATAATTGATTGAACTTCAAATAACACCTGCATAATTCTTCCCACAGCTACCGTATACAATACATTGCAAATAGAGCAAAAAATCTAGTATTTAATAGTTACCAGACTACTGGCTCTCTTTATGTGGAATGATGCAACTGAATCTCCTTTGCTTTTCCGCCTTGCTCTAAATGTAGTAGACTCTGGGTTGATGGTGACCAGCAAATGCACAATAAGCCATACGATGGAACAACACAATGATCCTGTGATCGCTATTGCCACCGTAGTTGTTTTTATATCACCACTGAAGAAAATCTGATCTAGCGCAAGGTGTGATATCAATGTAGAAACAACAGCCATCATGGCTTACCTAAAACATAAGTGTACTAGTGAATTTAGTTCAAATATCACGCATATTTCAACAGTGTCTTGTAAAGGGGCACAGGGGACCAAATGAATGTTGCAATACAAACAAGTATTATTTCACAGTGAGACAAATTAGCAATTGCTGTAATAAATTTTGAACTGTTTTGATACAAAGATCTACCCCCATACCTATTAGCAACACAGCAAAGAGAGCATTACTGTCATTATTTATACTATTTTTGATCAGTTTGTGCAAAATTTTACACAAATGCATCAGGAAAGACAACATTTTCATATAAAAAAATTTCAATGTCATGATCAGAGCAACAAACTAAATAATCATACACCTTACCTCAAAAAAAAAAAAAAAAAAAAAAAATATTGCCACTGATTGGCAGGCAATATCCTACTGCTGTTTCTGGGAAAGCTACCCAGTACAAGACCACACCAAGTTAATCAATAACATGACAAAGGGATGAATACTTCTATAATACAGCTGTTTGTTCAACACTAGTTGCGAATGTGTCCATACTTACACATAAACAATTCTGAGTAGCAATAATGGGGTATCTAACTTCATCCTTTTTCTCCAGTCCTGGATTTTTTCTCTCCCACTTTATTGCTTGGATACTAGTACATTTACTCATAATCCATCATGACAAGCCATCCGCAGATCACTGTACCTCTGGCTGCATAGACTGTGTGAAAAATCAATAAGGTCATCAAACTCAATTCATATGAGACATAAAATTAATATTGGCATGAGATGAAACATACCTATGGCAGTGTGATATCAAAACATGTGTTTGACACATATGTCATGAATGCATCATATTTTTGACTCCTGACATTTTATATGATGATAATAATGACATTTAAACAAGAACATATGAGTTGCCTTAAGCTTGTTTCTAAATTACAAAGATGCACTGAGCTTACGGTATAGTGAACACCTTCTTCAGGGCTACCCAACTACCAGACTCGGGACCGAATGATCCCGAATTCACCAGTAGATTGGACCACACTACCCATTTTCAAGGTGTGCGTCAGTACGCATTTCACAGTATCATACCCTGAACAAATTTTGAGTGGTGATGCAATACTTTCCAACCCTGCTGAGAATCATCACTATCACATCGCATGCTAGACAAGAGCGGTATCACGTCTGATACTTCGAAGCATGTACTGATGCAAACCTCGAAAATGGGTAGTGTGGTCTGATCTACGGGTAAATTCAGGATCATTCAGTGCCGAGTCTGGTAGTTGGGTAGGCCTGTTCTTTTATATCATTTTATCAAATCTCCACATGTGCAGACACATGTGCAAACTTGAAACTGACAGTTTACAATGTTTGATTCACATTTACACAATCACAAATGTGGCCTCTAGGACAGTGGCATTTATAGGAGTCCATGAACCAGGTCACCTGCCCTTTATTACAAAAGCACATAATGTGGTGAACTTGAAACAAGACTTCCATGCATTGATGGTCAGAGTTTATTTTAGCATGCACACATCCAGATATGAAATTGATGCAGCTAACAGAAATTTATCTAAATTTGAGTCTTTAAAATACAACAGTAAAAGCAATTTCACTCAAACAAGAGTTACAATATAACCTTACAAAATAGTAGACGGGAGTATATAGCAGACAGAGAACCAATTACTATGTTGTTTTTATTTAAAACCCAAGGTTGCAAAAATCCAGATCATGCACTAGAAGAAATGAGCTCTTAATTGGGAACAAAATCCATCAAAAAATTTCTGTTATGTAATATATAATCTATTTATTTAACTATTTATTTACTTTACTTATTTAACTACATCCATATTATTACATCTTGGAAATTTGTTCTTTAAATTTTTATTTTCACTCAAATCATTGCAGAAACCAATATTTTCTGATTTCTCTTATCCATGATTTTTCAATTCAATTACTTTTGAGCTGTTTTGTGAAAAACTCTTCCCAGATTTGTTATTTTTACTCAGTCCAATTTGAGATGGCATTTCAAACCTTCACCTTAAAGTTTGTTGCAGTTAAGGTCAGGTCAATACACCCCAGCATCAGTATATAAGGTCACATAGACAGAAACATTCAATACAACATTTACAGGCACTAGTGGCAATTTAATCAATATTAGTGTGTACACTAGTACAGGTAGAAAATTTAAAATATTGATTTCAAATCCTTAAATCGTTTGTATGGACAGCATGTTAATGTTAACACACTATTGTATTAACTACTACAGTACATTGCACATGGCAAACATATCACCAGTTTTTCATTTTCCCCAAGTATTCTTCTTAGGTAAGACACTCTAAACAGTCTACGTACAAGTTTTCCTTTTCATGGATACATGCACGACCTTTGGTTGCACAGTGGAATCCCTGCATTACTATTGTAGTACAAGATAAGTACATCAAATAGTGTACATGAGGACACTAGTTAAAAAGCCGAGACAAGCATGCATATGAATTGCTATTAGGTGTGATATAAAGAGTGCCAAAGCAAATACATATGTTCTATTTCTATAAGCAAATAGTAATAGTGCTACCGACACTTATGAAACTAAAAGAGGTTACCTGAGTTTTTGTTCAAAGTGTTGTCCTTGCATATTAGTATCTCATAGAGGCGCCAGGTGGCATCAAAGAGGACGACTCACTTGACGAGAAATTGCCTTCTTTTCTCGCATAGAAATGGAGTCTGCTATTTGATAGTAAAATTCCACGTAGCATTGTATTTTCAAATATGTTGACAATGCTACAAAAATAACGAACGACATAACATGGATCTTGACCAGCTTCTATCTTGACAGCGATACGCTCTTTTATCATTTGAGACAGGAAAGTAAACCACACAAATGGACACGTGTATGGGGGAANCATTTCAAAACAAACCGATTTGAAATATTTTGGGAGCCTGCATTTACTTGTTTATACAATTGATGTTTATAACGTTATTTATTTGGAAACTCAAGAATGCCAACTATCGTTCAACAGGTAAAAAGTGAATTTTTAAAGATTATTTCTAAATGATATCAAAAGAATTTTCTAAAAACGTTCAAAATACAATGTCAGTACATTTATATTAATTTACCATCCAAATTGTGCTAATGTAATATTAAACATGCATCATGATTGGTAAATCACTTATCTGTTGAAATTCCCCAAAGTGGAACTTAACGTTTTAAGGTTACTGTTGTCATGTTTACTTCATATCACTTCGCCGCGGAGTTACCAGTATATGAATCAGTTTCGGCACATTGATTCAAACATTTGACAGAATTTATTTTTTTATTTGCAGCTGGAGCAAGTGCAAGCAAATGTCGCAGAATGTGAACATAGATTAGATAAAATAGAGAGGTTGTTAAGGTTGGAAGAGTTGGCAGATAACGAAAGGCAAGGTTTCATAGTATGAGTAATCAGCCTTAGGCCTGGCACGAAAATTCATGCGTTAGCACTCCTATTGACGATTCTGATATGTACTGGCACTCCTATCGACAATTTTGAAATGTACTGGCACAGCATTGCACAGCCAATACATATCAGAATCATCAATAGGAGTGCTAACGCATGAGTTTTCGTGCTACCTTAGGCCCTCTGTTTTTTTTTTCCTATTCACTGTTGGTTTTGGGTCAGAACGAAAGAGCTTAAGGTAACTGAAAAATGTTCTCCAATAGCCAGTGCAGCTTTGGATCAATTTTCCCCTTTTCCCTCAATTTTACAAGTTGTCTGACACTGTTGCAAAGGCACTGCATTTTGCTTCTAATTAAGATATCTTCAATTTAGTAAATCCATCCACTTGTAGAAACAATAACACCTGGTTAATTGCATGAATCTGCCAGGTCCCTGCATCTATTAACCTGGCTATATAACAGTTACAAACTTGCATAATTCACGGCTTATGTTCATAGTTTCTGCTCTGACCCTATCACAAAATTTATGCGTTAGTACTCCTATTTACAGTTTCTGATACTACACTATACAAACACACTCATTTTGTGCTTCTCTGACCCTTAATTTTGACACTTGGTGAAAACAGAAATAGAAGTGATAAAAAAGCTAACTTTGTAAGCGAAGTTCAGAATTTGAGTGTTTCATCATGTTACAAAGCATGTGTAATAATGGTGAATGGATCAGAATGTAATGACATTTGAACTATGCTTTTTTTGCATATTTCTCAAGACTTAAACTTTTACATATAAAACAATCATAAAATGTCTCTCAATCTCAGTAATTTCTTGATGTTTGCCCTGTTTTTTAGCATACCTCAATTATCTTTTCAGAAACAGTTTACTTGCGGAAGAAAAAGTCCTAAAGAAAACAATTGCTCAGTATGGTGGGTATAAGCACAATAACTCCACAATGTACATTACTATCATCATTATTGCAGTTTATTTATATTTTGTTTTCTTTGATATCATATACCTCAAATTAAAAAAAAACCTTAATATTCAACAATGTGAAAGTCTTATTTTCCGTTTTTTTCTTTCCATTTCAGACAAGGACATGGCAAATTTAAGAAAAGAAAACAGAAAAACAATGCTGTTATCAGTAATTTTATTTACCTCAGTCTTTATAGGATATTTGTATTTTTATGGAGAAAATACTATATTTCTATAACTACATCTCATAAGGATATGTTCTTCTCAAAAGTGACATCTATGCAGTATGACTAAAGGAATGAAATAACAAAGGAGAGGGTTGAGATTCAGATTTTGCAAAAATAATTATGCAGAAACCATTTAAGGCCTTTGTACATTTGGAATACCTGTATTTGGATCATTTCTAACAACAACTTTTTTGTAACATGACACGACTTACATGAGCAATAGTAGTGCAGTCAACATTAATGTTATGTCATGCCCGTTTTCTGTGAAGCTATATTTGTGGAAACTGCATTTTTAGTTCTCCCCTCGACACCCTAACGGGCATAAGAAGGATGACAAAAGAAGAATTCCAGCAGGTTGAAAGATAGAACACTCATTGGACATGATGAATCTGGTGAGAAAAGTCGCCTAGTAGCAACTGGTGTATGAAAAGTGATATTTTGATGTAACAATATAAGCCAAAAGCATTTTAATAAGAAATGATAGTGATGGGACCAATAATGATTATTTATCTGGTAAGTTGTTAGTGTGCTCTGGAAGTTTAGATTTAATTTAAAAAAGGAACACATGACATTCTAATTTCACAAAATAAATAGTGGAGGTTTAGCATTGACTAAGAAGTAATTTTTGCAATCGTTTTTATTTAAAGGTAAGCTTTTAAGTGAATCATAATTCTTTACATGGCACAATAAGTGAATTAATTTTTTGTATAACAAATAACAATATCAAATTTCCAGTTAACAGATATCCATTTATTACGCAATTGAAATGAAACACAAAATGCTGTAGTTCAAATATTATGTTCATTGGTAAGTCATGCTTTGGTGGATTTTATACAGTTAACATCAGATTCTGTAATTGGCAATTCATGTCATCTCATGTAATATGAACAAACTTAAGATACCTGAATAACCTTTCCAAACTAAAAAAAAAATAATAATAATAATAATAAAAACATTCTTCCACTTTTAAAAGTCAAGTAATATTTGGCAGAAAATGTGACTTCATTCACTAGAAATGTGCATATAATATATTAAATAAAGAAACTTTTTGCATTAATTTTTGAAAATAATCTCATAAGATCAACAATATTTTTGTATATCATATCATATTCCATATACTGAGCATGTGCAAATTGTTCAATAAATATCAAATAACCAAAGAAAAAGCATATGCTAGGCTAGAAAAATAAGCAAATAAAGTTATTTTTATTACCACATAATTAATTATTAAATAATAATGGGAACAAAATCTAGCAGCCTTATTGGTTGCTTCAGTTCATGTTCATCTGATATTTGTTCTAAAATAAACAAGTTATACTGTCAACTCAAAAATGTTCTATCAAGAAAAAGCATTAAAGCATAACATTACTGACTTGAAAACTTTAAAACAGGTCTTTCATGTCTGTTAAAAGAATGGTAACAACTTCTTTTGTCATAAAAAGTGCTGTTATGGAATCTAAATATCTGTATAGTAATAAAGGAAGATCTATACTAAGGGAAATTAGTAAATTGAGCAAACTAGTGTTTTTGTATGTTTATATTTATATATCTTTGGTTAAGTATGTCTTAACCAAGCCTTTAATTTGGACTTCCATAACATTATCAAAATGTACATGTGTAGACATATATGCTATGACTTTTAACTCATAAAATTCATCAAATATTTCCATGGCACTCTTTAGGTGTTATCATAGAATTGCCAGAGCAATACCCAACATTATACAAAGCCCCCTTCTTTGGTCCCACAAGAAATTCAGTATGCACAGACCCAATTTTCCCTCAGAGACTGAATTATGCGATTTATCACAGTAAATCCTGGTTATACCTGGCTTCTACTGGTGGGTCACATAGGCTGAATTCACAACAGCATCTTATAGACCCGCAGATTAAAAATGGCGACCCACTTAAAAGCTTGCCACATAAATCCCATAATTGACGATGAATAGATTCTCCGCGGGGATTATGCNAATAATAATAATAATAATAAAAACATTCTTCCACTTTTAAAAGTCAAGTAATATTTGGCAGAAAATGTGACTTCATTCACTAGAAATGTGCATATAATATATTAAATAAAGAAACTTTTTGCATTAATTTTTGAAAATAATCTCATAAGATCAACAATATTTTTGTATATCATATCATATTCCATATACTGAGCATGTGCAAATTGTTCAATAAATATCAAATAACCAAAGAAAAAGCATATGCTAGGCTAGAAAAATAAGCAAATAAAGTTATTTTTATTACCACATAATTAATTATTAAATAATAATGGGAACAATAATGGCAGCCTTATTGGTTGCTTCAGTTCATGTTCATCTGATATTTGTTCTAAAATAAACAAGTTATACTGTCAACTCAAAAATGTTCTAGCAAGAAAAAGCATTAAAGCATAACATTACTGACTTGAAAACTTTAAAACAGGTCTTTCATGCCTGTTAAAAGAAGAATGGTAACAACTTCTTTTGTCATAAAAAGTGCTGTTATGGAATCTAAATATCTGTATAGTAATAAAGGAAGATCTATACTAAGGGAAATTAGTAAATTGAGCAAACTAGTGTTTTTGTATGTTTATATTTATATATCTTTGGTTAAGTATGTCTTAACCAAGCCTTTAATTTGGACTTCCATAACATTATCAAATGTGCATGTGTAGACATATATGCTATGACTTTTAACTCATAAAATTCATCAAATATTTCCATGGCACTCTTTAGGTGTTATCATAGAATTGCCAGAGCAATACCCAACATTATACAAAGCCCCTTTCTTTGGTCCCACAAGAAATTCAGTTTGCACAGACCTAATTTTCCCTCAGAGACAGTGAATTATGCGATTTATCACAGTAAACCCTGGTCATACCTGGCCTCTACTGGTGGGTCACATTGGCTGAATTCACAACAGCAGACTTACAGACCCGCATATTAAAAATGGGAACCCACTTAAAAGCTTGCCACATAAATCCCATAATTGACGATGAATAGATTCTCCGCGGGGATAATGCAACAAGCTTTCAATTGGGTCAGCCACATTTGATCCCCGGATATGTTAGTCTGCTGTTGTCAATATTTCACCCACTTACTAATGTATACCACAGAATGGAGTGAGATGACTGGTACTCGCATATTTTGGTGTGTTTGTTATGTGAAACCCACATTTACACTTATAAAGAATTCTTGAAAACTATATTTTAAATGCATGTAATCATATGCATTTCCTTTTGTAAAAATGTAACATGAAATACATATATTATGGCAATGTAATACATAAAAATGCAATAAAAATGGCATTTTATTGACCAATAAACATAGAAACTACACTGCTAATGGGCTTAAAAAATACAAACTACAAAACATACTTCCAATCTACTGTCATTTTAGCAGAACAAATATCATATTCCTCCTTAAAGAATGCCATAATGATGATAAAATATTTATAAATTAAACATACTATTATTCTAATGATTGTACATGTCATGAAGAAGTTAATCTCATGAATTGTTCATAAAATAATTTATAACTAAATAACTTACTTCTTGCATGTAAACAAAAGTTGATTGAAACACTTATTCAACATATCTAAAGTATATTTATTTACCTCCAAGTAATCTTAATCATTTAGGAAGAAGAAAAAATTTACTACGTGCTGCTGTTTATATATAACATTAAAATTTCCTGAGTTTGTAATTTAAAGGCTGCCATAACACCTATATCAATGGAATCAATCAATGTGCATGGGATTAGCTTTTTTTTTCTTTTTTTTTAAACACCAAAAATAATCTACTGAACAATGAAGCGGGTATTTTATAGCTATCAAAAAATGACATAGTAATGTTTTCCTTAAGCTGGTAATTTTCTACTTGACAACCTCAGCACTAACAATCTCTGGCTGATGACAAATGGTTTCTGGTTCTGCGTGGATTTGGTTTAGGTACCTTAAAGCTTGTGAATACCCTAGGAATGTAACAGCACAAGTAGGAAATCCTCTAATTGCAGTTACAACTAGCCCCGTGAAAAAAATTCTATACCCTCCTTCTTGGTATGTCTTCCGTATACAATCAGTGGTGCTTTTATAAACCAGGCCATGCATGTCTGCCTGGATGCGACTTTTTATCACATCAAAAGGGATGATGACTGACCATGATATGACCCCTGCCCATCCACCAGCAAAAAGACTAGCAAAAATTCCATGCTTGTCAAACAACTGTGTTCTTTGCATACCATCGTACATTGCCTCATAGACAAGAAGATAAAGCCCATAAGCTGGAATGTCTCTCCATGCCATGCTGTACATACCACGATACATGCCCTTTATGCCACACTGTCTGTATATGCTGCTCATGCATTCCAAAGGCCCCTTGAAGTACCCAGAACGAGTCTTCTCTAAAATTAAAAAAAAGACCACAATTCTAAGCTCAATTTCATATCATGATATATTTAACAGGCCATATAAATGAAATTACTGTTTGTTACTTTAAACAGCAGATTTGTGATTGTGATCACAGAATAAATGACTTAAAATGTAATTTCATGGTGCATTTGGCACCTTCCCATTCGGCATGTTCTGTATATGCCACAGATTATTGTCAGCACATAAAGCTCAAGAAAAAGAACCCTTATGTAAACAGTGAGAGACCTGGATAAAAGCTGGCTAAATCATTCGCGGTTTATATTGTGGTGCTTGCAACAAACATTTTTTGATCACAACAGGAAATCAACGTGAAATCTTGAATCGGTGATCGCAATCACAAACCCCAGGATCCAAGTCACAAACAGCAATTATTGTTTCTCAGGACTGTTTAACCCTGGGAGAATTACAAAACAATATTCCACAAAACTGGATTAAAGATACTCGTCATGGGAATCAAGGGATCTCAAGTTTAACCACATGCATAACTGGTATTAATATTAACTTCCACTCCATTCACTGTAAACATGAAAACATATCTGATGCAGTTTTAATACATACAAGAAGTTGTGCAACTGGCTTTCAACTTCAAGTCTTGATTTGTTTTGTTCTTGTAATTAGGTAATCTTCTATGCAATTCTTTTATTGACCACAAAGAAATTTCATCTGACTGATGCAAAGAAGTTTATTAGTAAGATCAGATAGCTTAATATTGGTGTTTAGAAAATATCCAAGTGTAAACTGTGCCTCTGCAGGGACGACGAGTGGGGAGGCATGTGAGAGGAAGAGTGATATATAGCTCTACATAGATCCAAAATGGTAAAGATCATTTCTTCCTATCAATTAAATTAAGACATATAACTTTTATTTTGTAATATTTGTAAGATGTGATAATATGGCTAATTTCAACCAAATTAAGTCCTTAAGAACATTTTCTTTGATAGAAGTGGGCACTACAATATTACACTTGCTATAAATATTGTTCAAAGTTTGTTCAAGTATCATTTCTCCTTTCCCTTCATATAAATCAGTGATTGGCTATACACAGCTAGGATTATTGCATTGACAGGGAAAGCTCTAATGGCAGTCACCAAAGACCCGGTGTAAAAAATTCTCAGTCCACCCTCCACATACATCTTAGATATACAGTTCAAAGTTCCAGAGTATATCTTGGTGTGTGCACTGTGGTCTGCCTGTAGACGGCTTTTTACAATATCTGCTGGCATTATAGCCAACCAGCTGATCACACCCGCCATTCCACCTGAGAGCAAGTGCGACAACACAGCACCACGCGCTATGATATCGTAGGCATGCAAAAGATCCTGCATTCCCTCAAAAGTTCCCATGTACAGAACCTGAGCTGGAATGTCCCGCATAAACATTATGCAGTTTCCACGATACAGACTTTGTATTCCTCCATGTTTATACAAGGCTCTCATGCATTCTATTGGACCTTTGAAGTACTGGTGCGACCCTGTGGATGTAACAAGCACATACATTAATTGACACAATGATAAAGACAATTTATCTAAACAACCACTTGGGACTTTAATGTTTTGATGAAAAAATCTTAACCTCAACAATAAGTGTGGGATACCCAGTCAAACGATTAAATTTTGCAATGTAATTTCAAGGTATATGTAGGAGAACCAGTCAACTAGACAAAGAATAAATTTTCCTGAAAATTTCAGCAATCTTCACTTCAGCACACCCTATTTGAATATACATAGTGTACTGGTATTACTGGTATGTGTGCATGTGCATTCAAATGACTGAGAATAGAATTTAAAAAAAAAACATGCTAATACCCTCAAAAACAAAATAAGCAATAAATCGGAAACACAGTATGTCAGTTAGGGAGCAAATGTGTACCTGATGAGCAAAGGCACCAACAAAGAATATTTAGATAAGGTAATTAGAATATATACATACAAATTCAATGTTAGTTTACAAGAATTATCCATGCAGTTAATAATTTTACTTACTAATTTTCTTTCCATATGCACATTAATCAGCCAAGTATGTGCTGATTGCAGTAACAGCCAAAGAAGTAAGATCCATGTCCTTGTTTCTTTTTTCCTTTTCAATCAATTTAGTATCACTAGATGTTTTATGCAATAAAGAGAGCCTGTAAAATTCCTGCATAATAAACCATCTACTTTCTCATTAATTAACGCCCCCTACCCAACCAAAAAGAAGTTTTTCTTTGCTTGCAATAATAACTGAAACAAGAAAATCAGGATAAAGCCATTCCCAAGCTTTATTTGCCCAGTGTGTTGGTATTATTTTTGAGATGAAACATTTCTTGTTTACTATTAACGACTACTGAAACAAAAAAGTTGGTCAGAGGGTCAATATGTCACTTAGAGCGTGCATTGATAATTAGGCATTGAAAATGAGTTGCATTATGTTTGATTAAAAAATGACTTGTAGTGTGAATATATATATGTCTATCAGACCTAACATGTAAATAGAAATAATTTAGATACTCCAAGGTAATTTCAACTAACTGTAACTATAACATTCAGAAACATATGGCCCAAGAGACAAATTATTCAAATGCATTATACATATATCATACTTGTGATATATTACTGAAATTAATATATCCTAAGATTACTGTTTATAACAGGGGTGGATTGAGACTGTTTTCTGGGTCTTCCGGAAGATGGTGAGATTTTCAAGTTTACTCTGACAGATATCTCATTTTTTCTGTTGGAAGACAGCCAAAAATGGAGGATGAATCAACAAAGATAATTTGGAAGACTGTCAGAAAATATCTCTTTATTTGCCTGCATAATCAGTAATCACAAAAGAAAGAGACATCACTGAACTATGTAAATGGAAGTTAATTCTTCCTTTTAGCTGACAATATTAAACATTAATAATAAATAAATAATAAAGCTATACCATTGAATACCATTTTGAGATAAAATTGGCTATGGAGCCACTGACTACTTACCGTTACCGTGTGGTATCTGAGACTGCAGCACCACTTTTACTACATCTACGGGACAAGCAATAGCCAACTGGGCAGTACCCCCAATGCATCCAGCTATATAAATGTCTCTATAGGAAGGCTGAGTTGTGGTGTCTGGATGCAACCAACGGAGACTGTTTCCATACACACCGAAGAAGACTGAATTAATAGCCCCATATGAAACCAGTGGAAATGATAGCCCACGGAAGAAGCCCCTTCCCTGAAAAAATGTTTTATTGTCTGTCTTTAAAGTAACGGTTAATGCTCCTTGTATAGCAAATAAACTGATATCTCAAACTTTTTGAATTGCGTTCATAGGTGGATCCAAAGGAAATTGATGGATTCAGTTCTGCTCCCCCCCCCCAAAAAAAAAAAAAATCACCTATGAGGCACACAAAAGAACTACAAAACCCCATTTTTTTCTTTTTTTCAAAAATACCATTTGTTGATAAAATAGATTAAAACATTTTTTGAAATAGGTGGCCCTTCTTGTTGATGAAAACGTAACGTCTAAGAATGAAAACTATGCAGTCTGCGAACTTAGCCACTGGTCCAACACCCATAGCCAGTACAATTCCATTTGGACAAGTCAATTTTTCAGAATGTGTAAATTAAGTGGTTGTTATCATAGTTCAAGAAATTTCTATCACATCTTACCAGCCCATGATGATAGATGTTCTTGATCGCATCCCATGTACCTTTGTAATGATGGCCTGCCAGCTGGGTTTGCATCTGAACCTAATAACATACAAAAGAAGCCATTTTAAACAACACAGTCTTAATACAAATACTATAAATATTGCAAAACACTTCAAGGACTTCATTTGATCTTTTTTCTGTCAGACAAGAACAATTCAGATGCAGACAATTTACTGTATTCAAAATTCAAAGATATCTGTGTTGAGAATAGATATTTTACTAGGCATAGTTGGAATTGCACCATATTGGTTCATTTTGTTTTACAAGTTTGTCCAAAAAAAATGCTTCTTCTTCTCTTCACTTATAAAATAACAAATTCATTGACCTTTATTGAAGCATACAAAGGTGGAAGTTTCAGTGAAAATGAAAAGAAAAGCAATAAATCTATGTCGATATACCTAACAAAAAATTCACACTTTGGTATGCTTTTGACAAAAGGCAAGTAAGCATGCACGCACGCACGCACACACACACACACACACACACAAATCCACACTGCTTTCATAACATTTGATCTTTTGATGAAAAAAATAATAAGTCTCTCATCACTAATTAAAATATGATTAAAAATATAGTTGCAAAGAAAAATTATATAAAGAATGATGAATAATAAAAAATAAAAGGATGTATAAAAATAAAAATTTAACCAATTTACTATGAGAAAATTTGAGTATACCTTAGTTGTATCAAAGGGATGCCCTACAACAAGCCCTGCTATTCCTAAATAAAAACAAATAATAATGAACGCAAAGAAAGCAACTATTCTTCTAATACAATGAACTTCAACCGTACTAGGAAACCAAACCCTAAAACAGCAGTGTTTAGAAGCCCTAGGACTACAGAAAAAGCAACCAAATATATTTTCTAGATAAAAATTTACACCATTTTACCTCATTTTACATTTGGCATCTATACAAATACACATATTTTCCAAATTTAGAAAACAAACAGCTTCAAAATCTTTTGACAAGCAAGTTATATTTAAAAAAAGTCTCAAATACTAATAATATCCTACACTCAACTGAAAAAATAGCATCTAAAATAAAACTACTTGGTGAAGTTACATCATCTACCCAAATTGATTGTATAATCAGGTATTTTTACCGCCTAAACATCCTGCTATGTAATCGTTCACACCACCAGTGGCATCCATCCCAAGTATTGCTCTCTGTTGAATTCAATATTACCTAGGGCATTTTCTGGAAAACAAAACAGTCATTCTTAAATACTTCATAAATGTAGACATAGTGCTTTTGTGTTATTTCTCACCAACACCAAAATGCAACCCATAAAAAAAACTGAATGGTATATCTGAAAGAAAGAAATGACAGAATCTAACAACCTTAAACAAGTCAAATCAGCACCTTGTACTTGACCTATGCAGCAACCAACTGCTTGGCAGATATGTTATTACAACTCGTTTTAACTTAAAATCTGGATTAAAATAACACAATCATGCTCACAAGTTTGGTATTTCCAAAGCCATTTGACTTCCATTATAAAGAATGTTTGTGCAGCAGAACATAGAGCACATGTTCACTGAAACATTGTGGGAACATCGAGTACAGGGTATAGTATCTTATCTGAAGAAGGACTTCTTATGACTGATGTACCCCTGCCTGCTACTCTACTCTCCCCTAATATATACTCTTGTTTTAAATACAACATTACAAGGTCTACTGGTATAAAATTTATACTGATACCTACCTGATATATATTTTTTTCATAATTTAAGCAAATTACATTTATCTATTTGTCACATTTACTTATCATCTATTTTGCCAAAATAAATTACATTTCAGAGGCCCATTCCCATAGACATCATTGGTCTATGTGAAGTAATCCAACACCGCATGGACTCTTGCTGAATGCAATCAGATTAACAGATTAACATGCCTCCTCCTGACATTAAGTACAGTAGAATACAGAAAAGCTGGTGATTACATGAGTATGTTGGATACATAAGGAGGTGTGTCATTCAGATAAGCTGATTGCACTCTGGGCAGTCCCTGGATTGATTTACATAGATTGTTGGTGTGAATTAAAATGGGGTCATAGCTGGTTATCCCTTCAGCATCTTCACAAGTATAGTAGACAGGCACATTATAAACTGTTCCCTTTTCTGTTCATAATTCGATGCATACTTGCAGACGATAATCAGTACCAACTGCCCCAGATCAAGTTTGTATCATAGAGGTGATTTCATGGCCAAATTTAATTTCAGAAAATCCCTATTTTAGTTCAAGTTATATGTAATTAAATTATATTTAGATGTCTTAAAATTATATTAAGTGAATATTTAAGTAAATTACATTAAACTTCTACACAAATCAAGTCAGATGTCAGTGTATAATAAATGTATTTAAATGTCCTAGTTAAAATTACATTAAAGTTCTGCAGGATGTTTTCAGGACTGAATAACTTCATTTATGGCTTCATCTTCTAGTTAAAGTTTAAATCAGCCTTGGTCTAATTGTGTTAAAGGTCTCCTGCAATATGTCTTAATTCTGTTAATTGGCTTCAATATCTCTGACTTGCTTAAGGAATCACTGTAATGTAATTGTCCTTGTGTATTAGTATATAAGGAGAAGAGTTTGCAATATACTGTCATATTAGAGTCTTGTGTCTTCACATGAAGTAGTCAGAAGTAGTGTAGAGTAGAACATATAGTCAGCAGATAGAAGTGGACCAGTGACACCAATACCTGGATTGTACAGAATAAAGGTGGAGATCACACAGATTGTAGTGAGTCTCTAGAAACGTAACAACGGCTTGGTGTTACATGGTGGAGAACCTGGGCAGATTTTCAGGGGTCTTGGCCTTCGAAGTTGACGTGATGCTTGGATAATAGTCAAGCCGTCATAGGGAACCGGTGCACACATTCCGCTTTTTATCTATTATTTTAAACCTTCAAAGCACAAGAATTAAAGATGTTGAGGGCGGTGTCTCGGGTTGTCCCACAGATGGTGAGGTCTGCGGCTGCAAACGCACCCAACATGGTGGTCCGCCCTGCTGCTATTTCTCTTGTACGCACAATGATGGAGGGAGTCGCCAAGGGTAAAAAATTAAACCAGTTTCAAAAGTCAAAATTGAAACGAAAGTTTGATTTGTATGATATTGATGATGATGGATTCGTGGAACGTGAAGATTATGACAATTATATTGCAAAAATCAAGGAAGCATACGACTTGAAAGACGGGGACCCCCTATTGCGTGCCTTCGAGATGGAATTCGATGCACACTGGCAAAAAATGCTGAAGTTTATGGACGAAAACAAAGACGGACAACTTTCCATAGATGAATGGCTTGACTATTATCCAAGCATCACGTCAACTTCGAAGGCCAAGACCCCTGAAAATCTGCCCAGGTTCTCCACCATGTAACACCAAGCCGTTGTTACGTTTCTAGAGACTCACTACAATCTGTGTGATCTCCACCTTTATTCTGTACAATCCAGGTATTGGTGTCACTGGTCCACTTCTATCTGCTGACTATATGTTCTACTCTACACTACTTCTGACTACTTCATGTGAAGACACAAGACTCTAATATGACAGTATATTGCAAACTCTTCTCCTTATATACTAATACACAAGGACAATTACATTACAGTGGTAAATATGAGGACATATTTAAAAGGGCCCCAGGGATGTATCATAGAGGTGATTTCATGGCCAAATTTAATTTCAGAAAATCCCTATTTTAGTTCAAGTTATATGTAATTAAATTATATTTAGATGTCTTAAAATTATATTAAGTGAATATTTAAGTAAATTACATTAAACTTCTACACAAATCAAGTCAGATGTCAGTGTATAATAAATGTATTTAAATGTCCTAGTTAAAATTACATTAAAGTTCTGCAGGATGTTTTCAGGACTGAATAACTTCATTTATGGCTTCATCTTCTAGTTAAAGTTTAAATCAGCCTTGGTCTAATTGTGTTAAAGGTCTCCTGCAATATGTCTTAATTCTGTTAATTGGCTTCAATATCTCTGACTTGCTTAAGGAATCACTGTAATGTAATTGTCCTTGTGTATTAGTATATAAGGAGAAGAGTTTGCAATATACTGTCATATTAGAGTCTTGTGTCTTCACATGAAGTAGTCAGAAGTAGTGTAGAGTAGAACATATAGTCAGCAGATAGAAGTGGACCAGTGACACCAATACCTGGATTGTACAGAATAAAGGTGGAGATCACACAGATTGTAGTGAGTCTCTAGAAACGTAACAACGGCTTGGTGTTACATGGTGGAGAACCTGGGCAGATTTTCAGGGGTCTTGGCCTTCGAAGTTGACGTGATGCTTGGATAATAGTCAAGCCGTCATAGGGAACCGGTGCACACATTCCGCTTTTTATCTATTATTTTAAACCTTCAAAGCACAAGAATTAAAGATGTTGAGGGCGGTGTCTCGGGTTGTCCCACAGATGGTGAGGTCTGCGGCTGCAAACGCACCCAACATGGTGGTCCGCCCTGCTGCTATTTCTCTTGTACGCACAATGATGGAGGGAGTCGCCAAGGGTAAAAAATTAAACCAGTTTCAAAAGTCAAAATTGAAACGAAAGTTTGATTTGTATGATATTGATGATGATGGATTCGTGGAACGTGAAGATTATGACAATTATATTGCAAAAATCAAGGAAGCATACGACTTGAAAGACGGGGACCCCCTATTGCGTGCCTTCGAGATGGAATTCGATGCACACTGGCAAAAAATGCTGAAGTTTATGGACGAAAACAAAGACGGACAACTTTCCATAGATGAATGGCTTGACTATTATCCAAGCATCACGTCAACTTCGAAGGCCAAGACCCCTGAAAATCTGCCCAGGTTCTCCACCATGTAACACCAAGCCGTTGTTACGTTTCTAGAGACNCTAGCCGCATAAACTGAGTTCTTTAATATTTATTTGCAGATGTCATGTATTTCCATCTTGTATATGTAACAAAAAATTATATTTTTGTAACTGTGAATACCCCTGGTTCTTTGTGGTCATTGCATGTTTATTGTTACAGGGTGTGCTGGGGTTCTGGTTGGCCATCCATTTGATACTGTGAAGGTAAATTATATTAGTGTTCTGAATAACAAACTGTTGTGCAATTTGATGGACTCAAAAAGATTCAAAACACAGCTCAATAGCAAAAGAATTACAGTGGACTTGGTGTGAGATAATTTTGTACTGTATTATGAAACTGAGCCTGGACTATAATTTAAATACTCTAGAATGTGGTGAGAAGCCATTAGTGACAGAAGTATTAATATTATTCCTTTGTGGATTATGAGAGACTAGCAAATGTGAATATATAATGCATTTACATCAGAATAATGCCCATGTTATGTTTGGAAAACACTGTCATTGTGTCAGGGTTTTTTAGCTGGACCATGAAATGGTCGTGTTTCCTTTGATCTTGACATAATCACCAGAATGATAATTAAGAATTTGCATGCTAATCAGTGTCTGTCTCTCTGTCTGTCGGCCTACTTGTTTCATTTTTGAAGTCAAGTATGTTTTGGGTTTGAAGTTTCTCTGTGACCCCATTCCCATATCTAGATCGATCTAGCAGGATTAACTCATCTCAAAGGGGTTTCTCCCTAAATTACAAGCACCATAAGCGGCTATGATGTCCGGCATGCCTACTGAAGCTTTAAGGGAGCAATTAACTATCGTTATGCAGCTTCAGTAGGAATGCCAGACACCTAAAACGCTTAATCTGAATGCAATTTTGCGACAATCCCCTTGGAGATCTTGGTGGTATCATATTGCGTAATAACAAGTGAACATGTTACTGAGCAATGTCACGGGTTCACAACTTCACACAGGCTTGTAAAGATCTTCAATACTTGATAACTGACAAAAAACATCCTGTCTGGTCTAGATAAGAGTTGTTTTATTTATTTCAGGTACGGCTACAAACACAAGATCCAGCAAAACGTCTTTATAAAGGGACTTTTGAATGCTTCAGGACCATTGTAGCAAAAGAATCTGTGAGTTTATAAACATAAATGTTGATATTGATAATAACCCTAGACCTTATAAATGGTTTAAGAATTTATTAACACTACCCACTTTTACTACAAACGCCCATATTAACCACCAAACCCACAAACGAACCAGCACACCTTACAATTATTTAGCACCAACAAATGGATAGCTAGCACTAACATTTATCCGCTCTAGTAGTGCTGGTTAATTTGTGGGTTAGGTGGTTAATACGGGTGTAAGTGCTCAAAGATCTGCAGGTAGTGCTAGTAAACGCCTAATCCATTTATAAGGCCTGAACCTATGAGTTTTTAAGCCTACAGTAGCATACACATCAGCTTTAAATAAGATCTTTACTGGGATTTGATGTACCCTCTAATATCACAGGGGTCTCTAGTATAGTGTACAAAATTGAAGAAGAGACCCTGTGGGAAATGAGATGATCATCTTGTCTACTCTTAGGTCATATTCAAAACAGATGATCCACAGACTAACCGATCTGCTGACTGAATATGACAGACCCCACATAATTTCCTAATGGTCTCCGAGCCTCCACATGGATTAAATCTTGGCTTCGGGGTTTAATTGCAAGGCCCCTGTGGGGATGGCACATCTGGTTGTAGCAACGAGTGTGCACTATTTTGCAAGAAAAATTCTATTTCTGCTAATTTGCAGCTATATTGCAAGCAAATTTGCTACAATTTCACTACGAATTTGCAGCAACAGGCCTGATGTTTTGCTAGTAAGGGATTGTAAAAGATAACTTGCAACACCTGTGGTCAGAGGGTTGATTCAATGAGGGCCGTGCAATCAAATATTTGGGTCACATTTGCTCCAGCCCTGCCATACCTTTATTTACTGATGAGGTCAGGCCATCAGTTTTGGTAAAATTCATGCATTTATTAGACCAAATAGACAGTAAACCTGCAATATTTTTAACTCCCTTTTTTGCATGTCCAAATAGTTTTCACTTTTTAAAAATCATGTTCATTAATAATCATGAATATACTTAAAAGTATATTCATGATTTTTAATGAACACAGATTTATTAAGTTGGACTTTATATCTTACTCTTACTTAATATATATTTGTGAAAGAAATTGTTTTAATCACTGTAATCATGTTCCAGTACTATTGAATCAAAATTAATGCATTATGTGATGTGTAACGAACAAATATTTGGGTCGACAATATTTTGAAAGGATCAACAGCATATAGATTCTAGCTGATCCAAATTTCCAGCAATACCTTCAGAGTTTTCACCATGACTTTCTCTATGATATCACGAAATACTAATAACTCTTTCAATCAGCATTTGAGATATTGGTATGTAAATGCATTTTTCTTTTTTTTTTCTTTGGAAATTACTAGTATACAATTTGTGAACCATGGTATGTTTTTAGGCACTTGGATTATACAAGGGGATGGCTTCTCCACTTTACGGATTAGCACTTATCAACGCCATAGTCTTTGGAGTCCAAGGAAATGTTCAGAGAAGAATGACCAATCCAGATACACTACAGAGCCACTTCTTGGCAGGTGCTACAGCTGGTCTTGTACAGTGTGTAGTGTGCAGTCCCATGGAACTGGCCAAAACAAGGATGCAGATTCAAGGGCAGGGTGAATCAAGAACACAGTTCAAAACCACAAAACATTTGTATACAGGCCCAATTGATTGCCTGAGGAAGATCTACAAAGCACATGGGATTCCTGGGGTGTTTAAAGGTTTTACTCTCACCGTTGTGAGAGAAACACCCAGTTTTGGAATTTATTTTGCTACTTATGAGTATTTGTGTAGAAAGATGGTAGAGCAACCTGATGATGATGTGAGTATGCTAGGGTTGTTAATGGCGGGGGGCTTCAGTGGTATGGCTTCGTGGATTGCTACTTACCCTGTTGATGTTATCAAGTCTCGGATACAAGCTGATGGGGCAAATGGTCAAAATCAGTATAAAAATGCTTATGACTGTTTCCAAAAATCTATTAAAGCTGAAGGGCATGGGTGCTTATGGACTGGGCTTAACTCTACTCTTCTAAGGGCCTTTCCAGTAAATGCTGCAACTTTTACTGTGGTAGCACTTTTCCTAAGGTCTGTGCGTCCAAGTGAGGATGAGACAATGGAAACGATATCAGGTCATCACCACACACAACTGGGCAGTGAAATCCACACTGTGGACAGAATAGCTGGGGCAACGGCTACTGAAATATAGTCTGTAAAAATTGAAAAGATAGGTAACTAGTGAATTGTCACTTGACAAACACTTGATAAACATTGATGTAATGGCATAAGTTTACTTTTTGCAGCAAAACTGTGACTTCAACTCATAGAGCCAAAGATGAGTTTTTTTTTCAGAATTGTCGATTTAACAGATCAATAGATTAACATGCTGCCTCTTGTTTCCAACATACTGATATAATCTCCAGCTTTTCTGTTAATCAGTAAAACTGATTGCATTTAGCCACAGTCCTCGCAGACTTGTATCAATCTGTGTCCGTATATAGTTTCTATGGGAATGAGCCCCTAGTGCATCTTAATAGCTTGCATCATTCATTCACGAGGTGGCATAACATGATTTATGGAATTTTAACCAATATACAGATACTCAGATGCACTGATGTGTTTAGAGTGCCATTTTAGCGTAGTTCTTCACCTGTTATTGTGAAAACCACTTATCTTTATTATTTTGTGAGCCATGAATTGCATTTATGGTATAGGTATACTTGGAGGTTGAAGTGGATGGAATGGGGTTCCACCAATACCATGGCAGGAGTGAATTTTATCTGCCTTTCATGTTTTGGCAAACCTACTTGGCGTTGTGTACACATGGTGATTCCAATATCTAAAATAAAAGGCCTTATTGGCCTTAAAAAACCTGTTGGTGGACAAGCAGCTTTCTCCTTAAGCAGGATTCTTAGACAAAAAAAATTCAAGAGTGGTTGTTCAGTGTCAAATCAATAGTACCAGTGCTTTGAGAGCATAAAAACAACAGCATAAAGATTTTTGTTAGGTTTGATTGTAAATTAACCACACTTATCAATCCTTAACCCCATGCTTTTTTTCCATGTGAAAAAGTTATAATAACTAAGCGTGAAAAATTCTGATTTTCTCAAACTTAGGGTTGGTGTTGCTTGTTAACCATTTTATTCATTTTCTCTGGTCTAAACAGTTCTTACCAGATTCCAAAACAAAGAAATGGACAATTCCTCCAGTGTATAACCCCTCCCGCCCCTCAAAAAAAAAAAAAAAAAAAAAAAAGTCAAAAGCCAGTCTTGACGGTCAGTAGCCAAGATGGCTGATTTTATTTCACTTCACTGGAAGGAGGCTTGTTTATTTGATATCATATTAGCTGGGGGTAAATGGATCATTAAGTTTGTAGCACGTCATGCAATGGAGCTATGATGTTCAAAGCCTATGTGAAAGTGACTGAAACTGGTCGCTACTGTGATTTAAGCAGTCTCTGTTGGGAACTGGCCACTACTTATAAACTGAGACACTTGGTATTGTTACACTCATTGAATTTTACGTGTAAGTCACATTTCCAGTATCCTCACGGTAGTTTTCTTTACTCAAAGAACAAAGTTTATTTCAGCTTTGATACACTCTTATTTCTTTAAAAAACACAGTGCACTGTATATATACATTTAACAGTTAGTCTTTTCATTTAAGAATCTCAGTGTGCCTTAAAAGCTGGTTGTGATGCCTTGTGATACAGTTCCAGTTTTAGGGTGGTTCCATGTCCATTTTTGTAGCAAGTCCTATATATGGCTAGTTGGAAGAAAACAGTTTTAGTTTGTTGTATCAGTATTCAAGTGAAATTAAGTCAACAACATAAGGCAGCTGAAGTTGTCATCAACAGCAAAACAATTTAGTTATACCTGTTGCCTTTTAGGACATTCTCAAATCAAAATTTCTTTATTCTTCTTCTTCTGCTTATTATTATTATTATTATTATTTTTACCTTACATAAGCTCACAGAAGTTTTAATTTCCAATTACAGTGAAGGTAAATTGTTTTGTTTATTGAATGTCCCTTCCATCCATAGATGCTACTGCCAAAGTCAACTTCTTATGTAATAAAATAGACTGCACTTAAAGAGGTTTATTTTTAATGTGTCTTCACTTCTCAATTTAACACTTTCAAATACATCGAAATATTACAGTCTTTATATAACAGTTGTATGCATTTACAGTCAGTTTGACTTTAGATGGGTAATCCTGGTATTTAACATTAGGAGTTGGCTTTCTAAGTTTCATATCATCTTGCTTAATTTTTGTCACATAATAAATAGAGACCCTAGTTTGGGGTTTAGTTGTTGAGGGAATGTGTGAATATATTATGCTTAAGTTGCTTTCTGTAATCATACCTTTATAAAACTTCGCACTTCTAAGATGCTGAATGGACTTTATTAAAGCTCCAGCTGTTATTTTACTATGCAGATACACTGATAATATGAAATTTTTGCTCTGTTATTAAACTTTTAGTAGGATAATGGTGAAGCACTATCACATGAACTTGAGTCCCATATCCATCTGTGATTCACACATGTATTTCAATTTATTTTGCAGTGATTGTTTTTCAGAAATATTTATCACATGTATAAAACCTCAAATAACAAGTATGAGTTGTATGAAAATAACTTACAATTCTAATCATCAAGAAACTATAAGTTTAAAATGTGCCATTGAATACTTTTTTTTTTTTTTTTTGTTATCATGATTTTCTGTATTACACAAAATGTGGTATGTTCTCTAAGTAAAATTTGCAAAAGGTCACTGTATGTATTAAGTATAAAAAGTACTTATCAAAAACATTAGAATGGATTTGAAATATATTTGGTAATAATATTTTACTTGCTTAAAGCATAATTTTGTTGTGGTATTCTAGATTACATGGAAGTACACAGTTATGGTTTTGAAACTTACAGCTGCCCAGACATTGTGATATGTCAGGACTCAGCAGTATTATTTTGAATTGTATAAATAAGGCATACTATTGAAAAAATTTATTCTATTCAAACAGAATTGCAATACGTTGTTATTTGCAACTGATATAATTGTTTTCAATACCTAATAAATACATTGTATTTTTGAGAATGGTGTTTCATATTTTCTTTTACAAAGAAGAACAACTGTAGTTATGCAGTGGAATGTAATATTTGCTGATAACTAGTTCAAATTGTGAAGAAAGGATGCAAAGTGATATTTTTAAATATCTCTGTGAAGTATTATCATACTTTAAGGCAAAAGTGAGAAACTTTGTGATTGATTAACATTTATGACTGTAACATTTCGATCAATTAAACTTCAAAAATTAAACAAAAGACAGGAAATTATACTCTAGATGCTATTCGGAGACTTGTTGAAACTTGATTTCTAGACACGTGCAAAGAAGTGGGCAATCCAACTCAAAGGTACTTCAGCTCCATTGATAACTTTTGCAAGGTGTAATTTTTAGCCTACTTGTACTGCAAGAGATTATCATGCTGTAAATCTATAAATAAACATAAGGGGTTTATAATCTGCCTGTTTGAACTGGTTATACTGTGGTTTAAGAAGAATTTTAACAGGTAAATGTAACTACCATGGTGCATGAACCAATTTTGATCATAAAAAGGACAATGGTAATTTTCAACCCAGCTTAAAGATCTTCTCTTCTTGACTTTATTAAGGTCTCATTCCCATTGAAACAATCATTTTACGTAGTTCGATCCAACTCCCTGGAGATTCCTGCTGAATGCAATCAGTGTAAAAGATTAACACACATCTTGTTTCCAATGCACTCATATAATCACCACCTCTTCTGAATTATTCTCAACACTAAGAAAAGACATCTATCTGTTAATCTGATTGCATTCAGCAAGAGTCCCCGCAGAGTTGGATCGATCTACGTAGAAGAATAGTTTCATTGGGAATGAACCCAATTTCTCTTCTGAATGCCTGAACAGCAAAACTACACAAAAATAACATTTATAAGGACCATGTTCATTTGAGCTTCAATAATACAACTGACCACACAATCTCTCAATAGTGTATTAGACCCCATTTCCAGAAATTAGATCGATCTACTTTAGATCGACCTAACTCCCTGGAGGGTCATGCTAAATAGCTGTCAGCCGGGTGGACACGAAAGTTAATTACCCTTTTACAGCTTGTAGTAGGCGGGACGGACATTTAAGCCGGATTATCTGACAGTAATCTAGTGAGACTCCCCGCGGGGATAGATCGATCTAAAAGCTCTGGGAATACAGCCTTAGTTTGTAGTTTAAAAGCACAAGCTAACATCCACTTTTGATGCTGCTGCAAAGAGCTGATAAATAGTAGCAGTGTCTGCTTTTGATTCCCCCGCAGAGGTCACTGACATCCATATTTGGAGTCAAATAAGGTGACAAGCTATGCCAAGCTCTATACAAATGATGGACTAGATAAATAGACAGTGTCCCTGTTACGTAACTGTATACTGTATTTGGATGAACTGGTCACACAAACAAAGGCATCTGAAATCTTACAAGGGGGCTTTATTTAATGTTGACATATTTGTCTGTAGCAAAATTTATTAGTAAGATAATGATAAAACCCAAATAATTGGTAACAAATACACAAAAGATCCCATCCATTTTAATTGTATCTCTTTATAATGTATATTGTATAATGCTACATTTAATTTTTTTCATTTAGAGAGCCTTCAAATATAAAAACATTTCTGTACTAAATAAAATTATTATTATTATTATTTCAATGAAAATTCAATAGATCTCAATAGGCATTTATCTAAAATGTAATTATACTAGAAGCCATGATCTTTAACAGTAAAGTTAATCACACTCACTGAAAGTTCACAAAAAGCAACAAGCTGGTGAAATAAGATGTTGTAAAGGTGAATTTAAAAAGTCCACAAAGAACCATAATGAGATTATTTATTCTTAGCTAAGAGGTTTTTATTTATCCCCTGAATCTTTATATTGCACTATGGATCTGAATTAAGTGTGCTGATTCTGCAGGACTGGTGCAATATATTTTCATCTATTTATTATTTCTTTTTTTCTGTATTTGTGCAGCTGATGGACCGTTCAGCCCAAAGCCAAAGAAGAATAAAAACTGTCAAATTTCAAGAAGGGGTCTAATGATTGTGCCAGATTGCACATCAAGACAAATGTTCCAAAATTTTCACCTACCACAATGCCTCCTAATGCAATCAGGAAATAATTTGGGTTGAAAAGTTGGAGAGCTATGAATCCATACTTGATATAGAACAGATTTTAATTAATCAACTAATCCAATTCAATTGCTTTGAATTGATTATCAAGAAAATGATACAAACACACACATAGTTTGTCTAAAATAAATGAATATGTTCAAAAGACAATACGTGCCCTATGGTGAGCTCATACATGTGAAATATGAAGTGGGTTGAAACAAAATCCATGAGCAAACAACTGAGGAAATAAAAGTTACTTTATAACCCTCTTTTCAGGATCAGCGTCTAGTCTATATGGTGAGCTTGTGCTTGTGAAATATGATGTTGGTTGGGAAAAAAAAACATAAGCAAACAACCTACCAGGATACAAAAGAAAGATTATGATGCAAGACTGGTTTATAAATAGACAATTAATTGAAAAAAAGTCACTCCCATTGTTCAGTTATAAGATAAACAGACACATTTCAGTAATCATCTAAACATTTGAAATTTTCAACATGTACATAAACAATATATTGCTGCTTTCAAAGACAAAATCAATGACTTTCATAATAATAAGCTGATCATGTTGCCTATATAGAAAGAAACCTGCCTTTTATCACTCGGCAAATTTGAAGAAAAAACTGCACAAATGTAAACAGACACATACGTACTGTGTCTGTCTATTAAAATGAAATAATGCAGTCACTGCATTCCTGAAATCATTCCTGAGTGAAAGAGTACCAGGTGTGCTTATTTTCACACTTATTACATTGTAAGTTAATGCACCTAACAGATACATTTTTTTCAGAAATGGTTATTTTTTCTTTTCTTTCAGTTTTATTTATTTCTTACTACAGAAATAAAATGGTTTTAAAACAGCAGCTCATTTTTAAAAGCTAAAGAGGTGTGTGTCCACAAGGATATGTGACACAAATTACAATTAATTAGCTTCCAAAAGGCAAGTCCTATAATGCTATCAATTTTATTACCTAATTGGGTTTTTGATCAATGCCAAAGTGTATTGGCTTAATCATTTAATAACTCAATCAATTCTGATTATCATTTTATATATAAATTAAAGTGTTAAAACCTATCCTGAAGCTTAGAGAGACGGGCCAAGGAATTTTTGTTGCCTCTCATCTCTTCATTTTCCTTTCAGATAGTTTGTAGTAATGCTTCAAAGCCTTGTTACGCATTTTTAAGGGATCAAATTATTGACCCTATTTGAATTTGAATTAATACAATAACTGAATTGAAAAGCATCAAACTGATTAAAGTCAAATTTAAAAAGAGGTTTTATACTTTCTTTGAACACAGAGTTGAGAAGTGGGTATTGAATGAATATTTCATAATATCATGACTTAAACTTACTCTTACTTTAAGCACGTCTTTAGTACTCTAGAGGAATAAAAGAAACACAACACAAATGGTTCATCCATGCAGACACACCTCACTTTAAGAAATCTTATATAAATATTCCGAAAACAAAGACCTCTGACCTCTGACCCTGCCGTAGCCTGAATCCAGTTTGGAGCACAAGGTCATACATAAAAATGGGGAATTGAACTAAGTTTCTTGACATAAACAAGTATTGATCTCCACTATATACGAAAGTGAAAGAAGGAGAGATGTGAACAGGGGTAATGTGGCCGAGCATTTAGCAAAAAACAGGGAATTATGGCACTGGATTTTGTGGCAGGTTGCCTTGGAGGTACATATTTTCTAGTGGTAGTATTAATAGTAGTATAAATTGTATTTTATACTTATTCCCAGATAGCATGCAAATGTTGGCCCAATGCCAACATTGGTCTAACAATTACCCAACTTCTAACCAACAGTGTATTTACGTTGGCCCAACTTATAACCAACCTTTGTTCCAACCTCAAACCACCAATGCATTCATGTATGCCCAACAGTGGACCAATTATAATCACCAATGTTTCTGCAACTTGCACAACAATTAATGACCCAACCTAATACCAAGGGCACAGTCATTTACAGTGACCCAACACTTGAGCTAAAGTGGAAATAATTTTCGCTGAAATCACATATCTTAACATGTCTGATGCACAGGCAGAACGATGTCCTGATGAAATATCTTGAGTATATCTGGAATCTGCAGAATGCAAGGTTTGGCTGAAAAATAAGCAACCTGACTGATATTAATATGTATTCCTCAGAGGACTTGATCTGCCTGTGATTGTAGTTTTAATTAATAACAGGTTATTATACCAAACTAACTATTGCATCAACTGTACTTTCTGGTTCTTGACCAACAAGACACAGAGTCACACAACAACATGTGTTGACACTTCACTCGGCTTATTTCCAACTCTTTGTGCATGCATACAACAGTAATAACATAACATGTTCTACATCTCTTCTCCCTTTAGATTTTTTACCTTTAACATAAATTACAACAACCATTCTTTAAACTATCTGAAACAAACTAAACTGACTATTATGTCAACTGTACTTTCTGGTTCCTGACCAAAAACACATGGAAACCCACAACAACAGGTGTTGACACTTCACTGGGTTTATTCCTAATTCCTTGTGCATGCGTACAACAGTAATAACATTACATGTAAACACTACATTGATCATCTACACCACATCTGGAAATTCATAAAATAGTATTTGTTGTTAAAACAAAAAGATTAGTAATTTTGAACTGTTATATAAATTCATAAAACTATATACATGTAGAACAAATACCTCATACCACTTAAAACCATGATATGAATAGAAAAGTAATACCAAAAGACCTCTCAAAGAGACTTTTTATGAATATACTTAAACAACGAAAAAAACTAGAGGATCTGAGAGGCGATACTGCCTCCGGGTATTGTACCACCAACTGGAGTAAGTGCATTGTACAGTTTGCACTGATCCTATTCCCATATCACTGTGTTCATACCCAGTATATTATATGATAATTATTCTCCCAACCTTTTTTCAGCTAGGTAAAGGCTCGATCTTTTTAAAATGTGTGTCTGTGTGTGTGTATGCAGCATTTATAGCAAAATAAGATATTACATGTACACATGACAATGAATTCAGCATCAAGGGGTTCAGTATTCCATACTATTGAATTCTACAGTTATCATTCCAACAACTGTATCACAGAGAACATGAATTTCCATGAAATGCAGAAAAGGATATCAGATAGCCTTTTTGCTAGAGTTCTTTGCAGTAATTTATTTGAAAAATATGGGGCCAGTGTCTCCTGTTCTGCTTACTGCATGTAAGTAAATTTTAAAGCTTACATTTGATTAGGACAAACAAATTAATTAGCTGATCAATGAATGCAGCTGACCCTCATTTTGGTAGTTTTTTTTTTTTTTTTTTTTTTTTTTTTTTAATTTAAAAAAATCTTGATACTGCTGTTTTGATTGCATTTTTATGCTCAAAAATAGCCCAAATTATGGATACAAGATCCCCTCCCTCCGCCTCCCCCACCCCCCCCCAAAAAAAAGAAAAAAAAAAAGAAATCAGAGTCCTAAATTTAGCTACTACAACCATAACACACCAAAAAAACAAAAGTAATTTTGTCAATCAAAGCAACAGAACAGCCACTGGATGTAAATACCACTTATGATATATAAAAACTATTAACCGAATATGCATGCATTTATGTTTATTAAGTTAGTCACATAAACTGAGTTCTTTTTAAATTTACTTGCAGATGTCATGTATTTCCATCTTGTATATGTAACAAAAAATTATATTTTTGTAACTGTGAATACCCCTGGCTCTTTGTGTTCATTTCATGTTTATTGTTACAGGGTGTGCTGGGGTTCTGGTTGGCCATCCATTTGATACTGTGAAGGTAAATTATCATATGAATAACAAACTGTTGTGCAATTTGATGGACTCAGAAAGATTCAAAACACAGCTTAAAAGCAAAGGAATTACAACAGTCTTTGTATAAGATAATAATGATTCAGATAATAATGTATCAGTGGCGGATTTAGAGGTAGGGTCAGTGGGGTCCTGCCCTCCCCCCCCCCCCCCCCCCCC